AAAAGTACGCACCGGGTATGGGAGTGCCGAGTCCCGGAGAGGCCCTTGATGGCGGTGGAGGCACCGGCTGAGGGGCGCCCCTGCGGCCGCTTGGCTGTGCCGGACGACTTCTTGGGCGGCATGCTGAGGAAGAGGTATATACGAGAGAAGGTGGGATGCGCGTGCGTGCGTGCGTGCGTGCGTGTGTGTGTGGGAGGGGGGGGGAGGAAGAGTGGCGAGACGATCGGCCCCCGGGCGCTCCCGGTGCGATAGGCGCCTGTTTTTCAGGCAACAGGTTTCCTGCCTCGGGGGCGGTGAGATCGCGGCGCGCCATCCCCCCCCCCCCCCCCCCCCCCCCCCCCCCCCCCCCCCCCCCCCCCCCCCCCCCCCCCCCCCCCCCCCCCCCGTGGTCACCTACTGCTGCAACATGGAGGCGAGATCTTCTCGGCGCGGCGAACCACGCATGGCGACCCTCTGTCTGCGGGGTTGTCCGCTCGGCCACCGCCGACAGTCGCTGGGGGTGCGCCCGGGATTTGCAGCGGCGGGTGTACAGGCGCGCTCGCGGACGGCCCGCAATCGGCGGGGGCAGGTGCGGGGTGACACGTCCGCTGCGCCCTCGTGCTCCCCCCCCGCCCCCTCCCACACACGCGCACACACACAAAGGCGTGTGAGGGCGAAGAAAAAAGCGGGGAGCCAGGAAGACACGGAAACCGGAGGAGGGCGGGACACGCGGAGAGGGAGCACATGATGGCCGGAATGCCAACGCAGCGAGTAGTGAGGGTTTCGATTATTAAAAGGAAAAAAGGGGTGCCAGTCAGATTGCGATGCAACCCTGCCGAAGGCTGCAAGGGCCAGCGGCACGGTCATCAATTGCCAACGCCGTCAGATGCCAAGAGGCAACAACCACGGGCACGCTTCGCGCTCGGGAAGCATCGCTATTGCTCATCGTCCTGGGGTTTGTTGATGTCTAGTTTGGGTAAACTTGACGAGGACACATACTATAGAAATGATCCCTAGAGTACGGTCGACTAAAGAAATATCCGATGGACTGGGCCCGTCGGCGGCCTTCTTATACGGTGGTCCAGGTCCGCGAAGTCGCAATTCAAAATGGCGCCCTCAGATTCCGCGTGATACCCGACACATGCCCAGCGTGGCACACAGCACTCGCCCCGCTTCTGGCCCCTGTCCCGGGGCATGGCGGGCATGCCAGATGTAATGGAAGTGCAAGCGCCCCCTTCCTGCGGCTGGAGCAGCGCCCCAGAGAAGAGCAGGGCAGAACGCGCCAAATGCGGTGATCTACACGCGCCAGCCCGGGCTCCTCGGTGTGAACTGGAAATGCCACAAAGTGGGCGGCGGGGGTATCACCCCCAGCGATCAGCGAGACCGAGACAAGCGCCGCTTGGCCGTGTGTTGGAGGAATAGAATCCGTGGGCTGAGGCAGGGCATCCGAGGAATACGCTGGAAGCATGGGGCCCACTCCGAGCCCCGGGGCCATCACGTGCTGTACTTGCACGGTGGCCGGGGATCACGGTCGGAGAATGCCCAGACCCCTCCCCCGGCGGCAAGGATCCCCCGCCCTCAAACGGGCAGTCAAACAGCATCCAAAAGCCCAGTATAGGGCACATAAAAAAGGAGCTTTTCTGTGGTGATCTCCATCTCCGTCTCGCCCCCTCTCGGGCACGGCCGCGTGCAGAACCTCCCCCCCCCCCCTCCGGTCTCCATTCTTGTGACTCCCCCCTGATGCTTGTGGCGTGCCGCAAGCTTCTATACACCAGCCTCACCTGTGCGCCTGGCAAAATGTCCCCCTCTCGATGTGGCCCAACCACCGGAGCGCGCCGCGCCCGCAAAAAAAAAGAAAAACACAAACACCAACATCCCAGCACAAGGAGAAACGGGCAAATCAGCACGCGGATGGCCGTCAATTTTCTACAGGTCACTGCGCACACGCGGGCATGGGGGCAGGGATGTGCGTGTGTACGCATGTGGAGAGGGAGAGAGAGAGAGAGGAGGGAGGGGGCACACAGCGCCGACACACAGCGCGGAGGGAGCCGGCCATGGGAGCGGGGAGAGCTGCCTGACCTCCTTAGTCCTTCTTGCTCTTCTTGCTCTTCTTGCTCTTCTTCTCACCGTCTGTGTTTTGTTGTTGCGAAGGGGAAGGGGGGGGGGCGCACGGCGAGGCAGGGTGAGAACATGTGCGGGACGACACGCGGGGAGAATATGCTGGTGAGTGGGACGGCGCGAGCACAGGGGCACTAAAAGTGGCATGCATGCAGACACAGGGGGGATGCGACGCGCGGGCGCGGTATATATGCCCGTGCTTGCGGGGTCCCACAAGCACGGGCACACACACACACACAGACGCGCATATGCGCAGACACGGACGCACCGTCAGACGAAGAGGAGCGCTTCTTGGACGGGGCAGCCTCAGCCTCCTCGGTGGCGGCCACGGAGGGCTTGTTGAGAGAAAGGCGGGTCTTGCCCTCGAGCTGGCGCAGACGGGCCTCGACCTTGGCGCGGGCCTCGGTGGCGATGTCGACGGAGTCCTTATCGCCGAGGGCATCCACACGGATGGACAGGGCGGTCTTGGCAGCCAGGACACGAGAAATCTTGCCCTTGAACTTGGGAGCCGCCTGGCCGATCAGGGAAGCATGGTAGATGAGACCGTACTTGGGGGTGTCGTGCTTGGTCTTCAGGGCACGGAAGAGGGCCTTCTCGGCACCGAGAATCTGCACGGTGGAGGCGGGCTGCTTGGCCAGGTTCATGAGGGAGCCGGCGTGGGCGATGAGGCGCGCGCCGACCAGCTCACCAACCATGACGGTCAGGTTGGGGGCGATGGCCTGCATGCGGTTCTTCAGGTAGTTGAACAGCTGGACGCGGTACTCCGACAGGGCGATCACCTGGTCGCACAGGTAGATGATGTTGGTGATATCCTGCTCGTTGATCTGTGGGCGAGGGGGGAGGGGGGGGGGAAGGGGGGGATTGATCACCACCGGCGGTCGTGTGGGTTATTGGTGTGTCAGTCCCGGGGAGGGGCGCGTGTGACATGCTTCCATCCGCTCGCCCACATGTGTGTGTGTGTGTGTGTGTATGCGTGCGAGGGAAGATCGGCGACAACATTCGCAGGCACGCACCTCAGTACCCATGGAGATCTCGGCCAGCTCCTTGACCTCCTTCTCCAGCTCCTCCGGGAGGATGGCAGACAGGTCGGTGGTGGCGGCCTTGTCACGAGTGGTGATGGTGCGGACGGTCTTGGCGTAGGCCAGGTTGTCGATGATCACCTTGCCCATCTCGGGGAAGTGCCAGCCGTACCACTCCTTGATGCGCATGGCATAGGTGTTGAGCTCCTTGTCGAGGTCGTCGAGGAGGGCTGCGCACACGGTCGGGGGTGAGTACACGGGTATGGGGGCATGGGGGGGGGGGGGCAGCGGCGGCAAAGGGCGGAGGGGGGGGCAGAGAGGACTCCGCCCCATCACATCCCCCCCCGCCCCGGGGGGTCTGACATAGGGAAGAGGGAGCGTGCGCACAGATGGCCTGGACGATCATGGTGTCAACCTTATCGGGGCTGAACTTGAGCTTGTAGCGGGACAGAGAGTGGGACAGACCGAGCTGCATGGCGACGAGCTCCTCCTCGGGGAGGCCGCTCATGAGGCTGGAGAACTGGGAGCGGATACCGCGCATCAGCTCGTTGATGGCATCGTTGTGCTTGCAGGCGATGCCGAGCTTCTCCTTGATGACACCGCCGAGCTTGGCGTCAGCGACGGCCAGCTCATCGGTCAGGTTCTTCTTGAGGACCTCGCTCTTGAGGAAGTTCTTGAGCTCTGAGGGTGGCAAGTGGACGGGCGGCCATGGGTGAGGAGGGGGGGAGGGGAGGAGGGGTAAGTAGATGCCGGCGGGGCGGAGGGGGATTGGCAAAGGGGACCAGCGGGAGGGCGTAGCCACGTGTGCGCACCCTTGGGGACCTTGTTGTCGAGGAGGGCGGTGGCGGCGGACAGAGCCTCGGTGGTGTTCTGGAACTTGCCGAAAGCCTGGAGCTTGACGCTGTGGGGTTGTGCAGGTGGAAGGCCGGTGATGGTCAATGACAGGCGAAATACAAATACATATATGCATGTATATGTGCACAGGATGTGTGTGTGCGTGTGTGTGTGTGGGGGGGGGGGGGAGATGCGTACAGCTTGTTGGCCTTATCGGCAGTCTCGAACTCCTTCCAGATGGAGTCGGTGTCAGCGAGCTTGGACTCGTTCTTCACCGAGAAGAGGGCGTAACCAGCGGAGGTCTCGAAGAGGACGAGCATGGTTCTGCGAGCAAGCGCGTGCGTGAGTAGAGGGTTAGGTGGGGAGGGAAAAATGCGGATGTATGTGCGTGTGTGCAGGGCGCAGCAGTGAGGCGGGAGCAGAGAGAGGAAAAAGGAAAGAAAAAGGCAGACAACAAGGAGAGGCGCGCGCGCGCGGGGGGGGGGGGGGGGGGGGGTCCGGGGGAAGTTGCAAGAGGGAGCATAGAAGGGGTGCGGAAAAGGAGGAGAGAGGATGGCAAGAGGGGGCGAGAGAGGGGGCGAGAGAGGGGGCGAGAGAGGGGGCGGGAGGGAGGGAGGTACAAGGTGGTGCGATCGCTTCGACAGGCGCCTTGTGTGCAGAACAAAAGGAGATTGGGGAGGCGACGGAGAGGGAGGCCCTCTCGGGACGAGAGGCTGCGCCAGGTGCCCCCGAAAAAAGCCCCCGCGCGGTCCGGCACATGTGGGTGTCCAGCCAGGGGGGCAAAAGCCGCGGGTCCAGGTGCCGGACCAGACCGGGGGGGGGGGGGGGGGGGGGGGGGGGGCCATACGGGCTCGCCGTGTGTCCCGTCCAGCCCCCCCCTCACCCCGCCCTGGGGGAGGGGGGCGGTGGGCCGGCGGTCTCCCCCGCCGGCTTTTCCTTCAGCCTCGGGAGGACCTCCGGGGTGAATGCGCGCACACTCGTGTGCACACCGCGCTCCCCCCTACGTGGACACACACTCTCGGGCAGAAGCACAACGAAAAAGACCACCCAGAGGGGGGGGGGGGGGGGCACGCGGCCAACCCGCACATCGGACCCCGCCCGGTGGCCGAGGGAAAAAGGGCGCGCGCGGTCCTGGGCGCCGACCGGAAAACCCTGCCGCCACGCGACACGCCAACCCTCCATCCAAGAGCCCGTGATGCGTCAGATGACCATCACATGATGATATACCGGATGCTGGGTGATATTTCCGAAAAGGCGCCTTCCCGCGCTGGCCCCGAGCCCCCGGCGGGGCGGTGCATCCTTGCCTACTGCCCTTGCCCTCCTCCCTCCTCCTCCTCCACCCCCTGCACCTCGCTTCGATCGCGCGTGTGCACGCACACAAAGACCCGCCCGCTCGCCCGCCCGGCCGCCTGTTCGCATCATGTCCTCTCGCTCCCCGGTGTCCATCGACAAGGTTTACCCCAACAACCTGGGGCAGTTCCGCCAGATCCACAGCTCTTCGCTGCCGGTGGTCTACTCAGACACCTTCTTCCAGAAGGCCATCGAGACCACCGGGTCGGTCTTCTCTCGTATCGGTGCGTTGCTCAATGGTCTGCC